TTCTTTTCTTTTCTTTTCTTTTCTTTTCTTTTCTTTTCTTTTCTTTTTTTTTCCTTTCCTTTCCTTTTCTTCCTCTTTTTTTTTTTTTTCCCCCCCCAAATGTCTCCTTTTTTTCTTTCCCCCTTCCGCATCCCCGTGCAGGGGCATTTCGGACGGCGCAAGGAGCGGCGGGGCGAGCAGCTCCGAGGTGAGCGCGCAGCCCCCGCGCGGGACTCGGATGGCCCCGGCAGCTCCGCGGTGTTCCTCGGCCCCACCCGGGGCAGCGGCACCGCCGGGTCGCGGGGCTGGACGCCGAGGCTGTGCGCGGCGCTGAGGGCGCACCGCTCCTCACACAAACGTCGCACGGGAGCACCGCGAGCAGCCGGGGCGGGTAGCGGGCAGGGAAGGAGGGTTCGTACCTGGGGAAAGGGCGCTCTCGGGGACCGACAGAGGCGGACGAAGCCGGGCGCAGCGAAAGCGGGAGGCGGCGGAGCCGTGCCCGCATAGGGCCCGCGGCAGCCCTCGGGGCGCGGGAGGCAGAAGGAAGGCGGCGGCTGTGCCCGGCCCCGTCCCGCCGCGGAAAGGACAGGCTGAAGCGCGGAACGCGACGGGGCGACGGGGAGGGGGCACCCGCTGCCCGCACACGAGTAGAGCACCGCTGCCCCTGGGCAACTCCGGGACGGCGGGGTAGGAGGCGGACGGAGCGGTGCTCAGCGCGGGCCGCGCAACCCTACTTAGAAGCCCCCCCCGAGAGGGTCTGCAAACCGGAGCCTCGCCGCGATCGATTCCCCGGTACGGTGCCGGGCGGGTCCCCCTCTCCGATCAGAGCGCGGCATCCTCCACTGCGTCCCAAAAGCCAGCATGCTGCGCCCGGCGGCCCAGAGCTGTGCTGCTCGGAGCCGCGCTGCCCACCGCCGAGTGCTACGCACCGTTCAGCCTCTGGTACCCGAGCTATTGTTTTTTCCTACTCACCCCGTGCAGGCAATGGAGACGATTGCTACCTGGAACGTTTCAAGTTGGTTAGTTTGAAAATGTGGCAGACTTTCTTTCCTAAACGATTTCTTTTTCCTTTTTTTTTTCTTTTTTTTTTTTTTTTTTTTTTTTTTTTTTTTTTCCCCTCTTTTATTTTTGTTTTTTTTTTTTTTTTTTTTTTCTCTCTCGGAGCGCAAACGAGCGTACCCCGCACGACCGCTGGCTGCAGCTCCCTCTCGGCCGGCGCAGCCGAGCCGCCTCCATCAGACACTGGCCGTTGTTCGGCCGCGGTCCCGCGCGGCACCGAAGGCGCTCGCTGCCGGCAGCCCCGCGCCGGCCGCCAGCCGAAGCCCGGCGGGAGGGGCACGGCCGCGGGGAGCGGAGCGGAGCGGAGCGCATCGCCTCCAGCCCAGTTTCCCCGGGACAGGGAACGGCTGCGGGAGCCTTTCCCGTCCTCGGCCCGGCCAGTAGAGCATCCGGGAAAGGGGAGTTACCGTGCAGCAAGGATTGCTAGCTTCTTCCCTTGTTGTTTTTTGTTTTGTTTTGTTTTGTTTTGTTTTGTTTTCCTTTTGTTTTGTTCCCTCTTGTTCTTCCCGATACTATTAGTCTTCAAGATCGTGGATTGTTTATTCCCGTAACAAACGAGCGAAAGAAGACACGGCCCGTTACGGTCTGTCCCGCACGCCGGCACTTACGGGAACCGACACAAAACCCCGCGGGAAGCCGCGGCCGGGCCGCAGCTCACGGTACGGGACCCTCCGGGTCACAGCGGGACGGGGACGCTTCCCCGCCTCCCGCGGCAGCTGCCGGGCCGGGACACCCCGCCGCATCGGCACCCGGCCCCGGGGCTCGGCGCTGGGCGGCACGGCGCCGGCTCCCGCAGAACCGATCTTTGCGGCTTCTGCGGAGCCCTTCCGTGAGAAAAACTTGCGCGCGCGTCCGTTCCTTTACACTGGGAGCTGCTCGCAGAGCTTTCGTCTTTAGAACCCGACTTCAGCCCCGCTCGTCCCGAGGCACCGCAGCGCCGCGCAGCTCCCGGTTCGGACCCCCAGCAGCTCCCGGGCGCCCTTCGCTCGCGTTATTGGCGCGTGGCGCTGGAACAAGGACATATTCACCTGGCAAGTGTCTTCTTCTGCATGAATGAGACTCATTGTCAAAAACCTGACCGTATGTAGGTGCATGTAAGTTCTGCAGTGGGGAATTTAGTCCTCCATTTATACTGCAAAGCTAAAAATTCGGGTAGCTTCAGGCTTGTTTGTACAAGCTCCCCGCCGTGCAAGGATTTCTGTTTTTACAGGAAAAACTAAGCAGGCTGTAGACTGTGATGGCTGTACATCCATAATGTGAGCTTCATGAGGAACAGAATCACTCCATTATGATCTGGGCTGAAATCGCATTGAATAAAGGCCTGAGGGAGCAGTCCCAAATGGGCTCAATTCTATAGCGATTCCAACGCGGATTTCAGAGGGAAGGGGAAGGGGATCAGGAGAGGGGTTTCACCCTTCAGCAGGCGCCGTGGAAATACTCTGTCCCATTCAATTTGGAAGCTCTTCCTATTGCCCCAGTATCAAAGAAATCTGCCTCATCGAAAAGGGCAGCCTCAACCTCTCCCCGTTATATTCCTCCTCCTCTGCCCAACTTCTCCTCCAGCCGAGCTGCAGCCCTCACTACAGTGTATTTGTTTATGCTCAGAGGACAGGCCTACAGGAAAACAAACGATACATTTCACTCTGCCGCTCGGTAGTTTCTTCCTTTCATCTGAAAACACAGCCTGATCCGGGGAAGGTTCCTGAATTCACACAACCGGTTACATGATGAAATGCAAACAGTTTCTTGCGGTATTAAATGGCAGCCCGCAGCAGAGTTCAGGTTGGCTGTTATGGGTTCAGCAGTTAGGGCTCGGCAGGATAATCCTGTGTTACTGCCGTCCTGCAGCTAGTGGCCTACAGCACTGCTGCCGAATGCTGCAAATAAAAACAAACAAGGCGGCCTCTGCTTCTCAGACAAAGTAGA